ACAGCAGTAGATGTAATTCAAGATATGTGAGAAAACATTCTTTATTTAACCTACTATTCACAGCATCAGTTTAAGTGCAGCACACTTTATCAAAATTAATATTTTGTGCCTTCTATCATTCCATCATTCAGACTTCTTTTCAAAAAATTCAGCTGAAAAACAGAACAGGCATAATATTTAGACTTAGTTTGGCATCAGTCTAAATTTAGAATATTTTCAAGTGTAAAGGCTTTTGTTGTCTTGCATGGGAAGCAAAAATACTGGTAAGGTAGGTAAAATTCCCTGTAATGTAGTCAGTCACTTAGCTCTGTTTATTAGAAAGAGGAAAAGGAAAAAAAAAAAAAAAAAACACAACAGTTCTTCTATTGCAAATACTTATTTCATATAAAATTTGTTTCAAATGCCCTGTAAGAACGTTTTAGTGGAGAGATTCACTCTGGGGTGTAATGTATACAGAAAAATATAGTACTTTGTTGTTCAAATCATCAATAATTTCTGTTTTAATATATCACAGAGATTAAAATAACCTTATGAGATTTTAGCTGAACAAATAAATTTCATTTCAAGTGCAGTGCCTCCAACCTGACATGTTATACACAACATAACCGGTTTTACAATGACTAAGAATGAGAAAGATGAATTCAGTCAAGTCATTCATCATTCAAGGAACCATCATGAGACAGGAAAACAAAGAATATCAAGAACCTGGAATTTAACTTCATTTACAGTATTCATCAACATTAAGTTTCTTCCCCAATAACACATTCTCTGAAACAGTGTCAGCCTTTCAAAAGGTAAGGGGCTGGATTCTATCCTTTTTCTTTTTTTCCCCCCAAAATGTGGTACTTAAACATCCAGGAGGAAGCCAGCAGGAGTTAGGGAGCTCAGCTGCAGCCAAACTGTACTTCTGGATGAGACTGTTATTGCCTATCAGCTCACCCTTTGTGCAGGGAAGAGACTTTATTATACTGCATCCTCTGAATACACAGTGCCTCACAGTTTGCAACTCTACATCATGGAAGACATAGAGAAGAATCAACCTGCTCTTCATCTCTGTCACCCCTACAAGGTCCTGGAAGTTAGCAGCACATGCTTCCAATATTTTATAATTTAATAGCTTTTATTATCTGACAAACCGGTAGAGGGGAAAAAAATAAAATATAATCCTGTACTTAAACTGAGATTTTGTTTTAAAATTTTGTAACTTAATTATTCACTATAGCACCAAATTGTAATTAATTTCATTTACATAATATTGCATAATTATATTTAATATTTATATGATCACATCCTCTTTTATTTATAGAAAAATCTATATTCAATAATCATATAATTAGAAAAATATTAATCATCATCTTTTGCTCAGAAGGCATTGCATTGATTTCTGTCTCTCACTGAAAAATAGAGAGTTTATTATCTCCAGGTGTCATCACCTCCAACTTCAGTAACTGATTAACTTGGAAAAATTTCTTCCTTAATTAATTGCAGTTTGGTTTCTTGGTTGGTTTTTTGTCTAGTTGGCTGTTTTGGTTGTTTGGTTTGTTTTTTTTTTTCCCAGAATGTGCAATTTCCATGTAATTGAAATTTGACAAAATTGGAAATTCTTTATCTTGAATGTAAACTGCCATGAAACTAAATAATTTAGCACTTTGGCTCTAAATTTGTGTTATGTCAACTCCATTAGATTTAGACTGCTTTACCTGTTGACATATCAGAAGAAATACCCAAACTCAGATTTAACAAAATAAGAATTTAATTTCCAGAAAGAACAGCTGGAAATAAATCACTGAATCTATATATTGAAAATGACTTGGATTCCTTCATCTTGAACAAATAGTGGGTTTGCGAGCTAAGGAGGTAATGGGTCAAACCAAAATAACTCTTTTTTGTAATTCATATGAGGAAAAAATGCTTACTGAAAATTCAAGGTTTCCTAGGGAAAAAAGATAAAATCATGACAATACCTGAAGGTGCAAGTGACGCTTGTTTTTGCGTTTTGACCCTAAGCCCATACAGCAACTGACTCTCTGATAGTTAGGTATTACATGCAAACAACAAAGTTGTCCACCAAGCCTCTAAATTATGGGTTCTTTTTTTCAACACGATAACTTCAGACTTTATTTTTCTTCTTTCACAACCCACTCTTTTCCTGCATTTGATATACTTGAAATACAACATGTAACTGATAAATGGCAAAATCTTTATGAACAAGCCCTGGGTATTTTTATGCAAATTTCAAACTGAACAGGTACAAAAGCTAAAAAATGGAATAGTCTGTAACAAACAGTCTGAGTATTTCTGCTGGCTTACCTTGGGTGGAATTCACAGATAGATGAAAGCGGAAAAAAAAAAATAAATTAAATGGCATTATGGGAAAGGAGAAAGCATCACAAAGCACAAGACATGGCATCACTGTTTCAGAAGGAGTTCTAAGGACATTAAAAAGATCTCCTGCAGCTAGAGGAGTGTCTTTAAATGAGATGATGTTTTTACTTAGGCTGCCGAGATTTAAAATAATTAATCTCAGAAAACATCATTACTGAACTCTCAACTAACAGCCTTCCCTCTTTTTAGATCTCTATTTTATAGAAGAGGAGAAGTCTCTATCTTTAACAGAGCTGGTAACATAAGACAGCTGTTGCTAATCACAGACTTTGATTTTATTTTCCTGTTGTCTGCACCAGCAATTTCAGAAATCAGATTACAGGCTTTTGAGTAGAGACTATTTTATAATACTTACTCTGCAACTTCAAGAGCTATTCAGACACTAGAAACCTTTTGCGTTCAGTTAATCTTGTTCAAGACATAAAATTCAGCTTCTGACTCTACAGTTATCATTGAAGGGATCTACCCTCAAGGTCATAATAAACAGGCCTCAGGTTCCTTTGGAGCAATTTGTGTTTCTACGTGTAGTTAAAATAAGAGAAAATATATTTAAAGGATTAGTCTCATGCCTAAACAGAGAGTCTGTAAACCACATAATTTTTTTTTTTATTTATCTGGTCAGAATTTTTTTTTTCCATAATTTTATACTCTTGGACACTTTCTTCAGATTTACAGAACCCTGCTTACCCAAAACCGGCCAAAAAAAGCTTACAGCAAACAATCAATTAAAAATTTAAAATACAGATTTTTAAAAAAGAAATTCCTCTCAGGTGAAATCATACAGCAATTTTCTTACTTGTTTATAACTACAGGTCTGATCTACTGCTTTTATTACCATATTCTGCTAAATATATAAAATTAAGGGGGGGATTGTTTAACCCAATTTCTACTTTTTCATTATTTATAAAACAATATGAAGCACCACTGTGTACTGATTTTGATTATCCTAATATACATAATTCATCAAGAAAAGACAAGACACTAGACCACAGCAATTGGCAGTTTGATACAAATGGCGAATGCAGTCCTTGCAGGATGGTTACTAGATGGTGGCAGGAAACCTGCAGTTCTGGAAATAATTCCATGCCAAGCACAGAAAATACTGCTGGCAAATCAGCTACAGAAACTTTCCAAGAGTGTATTTTGCGCTACTGAATGAGTACTGCATTTCTACTGCACTGACTTTTTTTTTCCCCTTCACTGCTCAAAATCTGTAGAAATGCTTTATATCTTTTATTACTCATTAATATAACAAGCTCATTAAAGTAAATGAAGGTTAATTTAATTGTATTCAGGCACTATATTGTATATATTATTGCATTTATCTTTTAAATAGTTTGTCTTTCATTCTACTATCTTCATGAAATAGTATTCTGAATAATTACCACACTGATGTTATAAAGTTACAGCCCTATTACACTCTTATTAAGAGCTTCAAGTCACCTACAGCATTTACACAAAATACCGTAAATCTAGTCAAAGAACCTCAGGCTATGCAGCAAGAAAGTTAATTCCTCATACCCCTGTGTGCATTTCTAGGTCTTCACCATTTGGATGATTACATTACTTCAGTTTTATATTCACTAGTCAGGAGGTAAATGTCAGATGGAATCACTGAATCTCAGTTTTTTACACCTTTCATTTTGTTTGATAGGCTTTGCACCCATTGTAAGTTACTGCTCTTGATGAAAGTATAAAGCAAAAAGCTGAGGCTATTATCAAGGCTAATGGTGGACCAAATATCGCGATAATAAATCAGTAAGAAGAAAATACTCTGAAGATAAATTGAGATGTTTATATTTCAGTTTGAATACTAATCAAATAACTGTTTAGGTAAAATACAACACTGTACATTTAAAAAAAAAAAAAGAAACACAAACCAAACCCAACATTTTTTGTCTTTCATGTAAAATAAAAACTTAAAACTTCAAAGAAGCTGCTGAATTTGGAGCTCTTCTGCAATAACAAAAAATGATCTCTTTAATCACAGTATGTAGCAGTGACAAGAACAAAGTATGAAGAAATTATAAGGTAGAAAGACATTTAAATTTTATACACAGGGACATACACTGTCAAAAGTCTTAGCTTGTAGTAATCTTGCTACTTTATTTTAAAACTTAATTCACCAGAGAAAATCCCTCAACTCCTGTACAAGGAAGATGTTGACTTTCCAGAGTTTTTGAAGCATTTTCTCTTTATTCTAGAATACTTTTTTAGTTAACTGGACTTTCATGTCCTAAAATGATGGTAGATGTGAAAAAAGCAACTGTGAGAAAACATTTCAACAGCTTGCCTAACCTAAAGACCAGCTACAAAACCTACTTGAAATAAAAAAAAAAAATTATCATTCACTTCAATGGCTTTTCTGAAAGGCCCTGAAACAGAAATCAGAACATGTAACAGGTAATAACAGGCTTTTCTGAAAGGCCCTGAAACAGAAATCAGAACATGTAACAGGTAATAACAGGTAAATTCACAGAGCAGCTTCATTTCAAGTTTGTTTATTTTTAATATCATGAAGCCTGAATGCTAAGAGTCGATAGACTGGTTAAGCCTATGACTTTTATGGTTCTATTAGAAACATTAAACTTGTGTTAAGACTCTATTTACAGTACCTTAGGATATTGTTTGACAGGGATCAGAACTCTTTCTGACAGCTTTATGTTTTTGTTGCTGATAACATCGAGATATTTCTTTTCTTCATCTTCCTTCTTGCCTTCAGAACCCTGAAATTTTTCAATTTCTGAAAAATATTAAAAGAGAGAAATCAGTGACAAGGTATTTGTCATTGCCAGAAACTTTAAACATACACATTATAATATAGACTGTGCTCTGCACACCTGTGCTGTTTGCACTCATGTGACATGCACTGTTGTCTTTGGTAAACCTGGACTGCCAACTCTGTCTCTCAGAACTGGTGACAGTCCACAGGTCATACTCCTCAACTAATTCTTCTCCAGCTGAAACTGCAGGCAAATGATCTCAGTGGGAGCAGGACAAGATGAGACTTACAATTCCATTCATCTTTTAAAGTCTAAGACTTTTAAAAGACTTCACCTAAGACTTTTGAAGTGTTTTAAAGACTATTACATCACCACAGCTTCATACTCTTTTTGTAACTGTGATCTACCAGAATTAAGCTAGATTCCACTACAATGGCTAACAGTAAGTGAGGGTAGTAAAAAACTGAAGAATCATCTTGTCATTACTGAGTTTCCATTCAAATGCTTCTGAATTATTTAAAGGTTGTACAAAATAAGATAACAAAGTTAATTCTTGCATAAAACAATTCTTCATTAAAGAAATGCAGTAAGTAGTCATTCTATATATAGTATTGATGGTATGCAAGACATTCAATGGAATTTACAAAAACAGCCTCAAAATATATTCAACTTGAATAATTTGAGTTGTTTATTCCCTAAAGCTCTATAAGCAATGGAGTGTAACAAACAATTCAATTTATTACCTTGCAAAGAATAAAAGAATATCTAATACAGTACATAGAGCTTCCTGACAGTACAGGTACTACCGAAAAAGCTGCATTTGCAGCAGTATCATTACTGACAGCAAAGAAAATAGCAATGTTTATAATTAGTTAATTATAACTGAATTATAGCTGAAAAGGGACAGCTGTGGGTCTTAGAAACATACATTTTTAAGGCCCAGAAAGCAAACATGGAGCAACACAGCAGCAGCAATATGTATCACATATACAGGTTTCTTTGACTTACAACAAGCATAAGGAAAAATGTACATAAGAGAACAGCCCGTATCATAATTTGTTCATAGATGTTTATGCTACCTATTCTAAATCAAATTATTTAAAGCTTTCACCAGCAGACACCTCTAGAATGCCACAAGCTCTTTTAAAACTTCTCAGAGAACACACCTAGAACTCAAGATACACCCACATTCAGTGGAAGAGAGCAATGTGAAAAGCAGCAAGCATCAATTAGGCACGAGCTTACAAAAGCAATATTCTGCAGTAAAATACTCACTTAGGCCAGGTTTAATAGAGAGGAATTCCTTTTAAAAGAGCTCCAACACAATTATACAAAGGTTTGTGCTATGGGGGTGCTGAGGGGAGAGACAAATGTGAACAAAAGAGGGGAAAAGTGCTGCAAGTGCAGTAAGTACTGGAATGAAATGAAGGCATATCTCAGGTGCATGGGGAACACTAGTGAGATAATTTTCGAAGACAAGTAGGGAAAGTGTATTTATTTCTACACATACATTAAACTAGAATCATAGAATCATTTAATTTGGAACAGACCTTTAAGATCATCGAGTCATACTGTTAACCTCATCAGACATCATCTGGTCCAACCTCCCCTGCTGGAGCAGAGCTACCTATAGTGACAGTGGCCTAGGACCACAACCAGACAGCTTTCTAGCATCTCCAAGGAGGAAAACTCCACAAGCACCCTGGGCAACCTCTGCCAGTGCACAGTCACCCTGACAGTAAAAAAGGGTTTCACGATGTTCAAAACTGATCTTCAGCACTCACCAGACTTGTAGCTGTAAAATTCTGTAAATACTGTCAGCCTGTTTATGACTTTTGTAAATGGAATAGCTTCTTCCTTCACTGACTTAGCATAAAATGGAATACCTGAGTAGCTCTTTACTTTTTCAAAACTATCTGCTTTACTCTTACAGTGCCAATAAAATGATGTTAATTACAGTTCACTTCAAAGTACTTGACACCGATTACAAAACTTCTGTCATGAATCTAGCTTTTCCATTAAAATTAGGCTTTCCACAGTAAAAACATCTTTTTGCTACGCTCAGAGTCATGTCAAAACTCATCAAAAAATAATGTTCTCCTCGTCAGCCTGTCCAACCTACCAAAAAATGAAATCTACACATCCCTTTATGCTATACAGGAATTATATAAGCCCACCCTGTGTCTTACTGCAGTGGATTGACTCTGGCTGGACACCAGGTGCCCACAAAAGCCACTCTATCACTCATCTTCTCAGGTGGACAGGAGAGAGGAAATACAACAAAAAAAGCTCATGGGTTGAGATAAGAACAGGGAGAGATCACTCAGCAACTACCGTTATGGGCAAAGCACTCAACCTCTTCTTCCCAGGCTCAACTTTACTCCCAAATTCTCCGCCTCCTCCCCCCAGGCAGCACAGGGGAATGGGGGTTGTGGTCAGTCATCACACATTGTCTCGGCTGGTCCTTCCTCACACTCTTCCCTTGCTCCAGTGTGCTGTCCCCCCCCCATGTGAGACAGTCCTCCACAAGCTGATCCAACGTGTGTCCTTCCCATGGCTGCAGTTCTTCACAGACTGCTCTGGTGTGGGATCCTCCACAGGCTGCAGGTGGAGATCGGCTTCATCATGGACATCCATGGGCTGCCAGGGACAGCCTGCCTCACCACGGGCTGCATGGGAATCTCTGCTCTGTCACCTGGAGCAATTCCTGCCCTCCTTCTGCACTGCCCTTGGTGTCTGCAGGGCTTTTTCTGATACATACTCCCACTCTTCTCTCTGGCTGCAATTGCTCCTGTGTAGTAACTTTCTTACCCTTCTTAAACATGCTATCCCAGAGGCGCTACAACAGTCAGTGATGGGCCTGACCTTGGCCAGAGGCAGGCTCATTTTGGAGCCAGTCTTGTATTTTCATTTTGTTCGAGACTATGTGCAAGTTTTGGAACAGAAGTGATGTCTTTGCTCAAGTTAATGGATGACTATTTCAACTATGCTTTTCAGACATTACTAGTATGTGAAGTGTGAGACATCCTGTAGGACTTTTAACTGGTTTCACTCCAACGTTTAACTCACTGCAGCCCTCATGCTTCTGTTTTGTTTGTTCGTTTTCATTGCAGTCACTTATAAATCCCCGGAAGGCAAGTGAGAAATAAAAGGAAAAGAAAACATAAAATGAAAAAGCGATGGTAGCCTCATGGATGAAAGACTCCCATTAGACAAATCTGAATGTTCATGAGCATATAGAAACATTCAAATCTTCCCACATCAGGCAACCTGGATGTGATTTGAGTCATCAAATCACAGAATGGTTGTGGTAGGGAGGGACTCTAGAGCTCATCTGGTCCAACCCCCCCTGCGGAAACATTTCTGCCATGGTAGCAGCAACACCAATGGCTTATTTTGTCTTTTATAATTAAAGGTCATTAAAAAGCTACACAGTTGCAATCCTGAATGCCTACAATGATGCTAAAATCACAAAATCCCCATGTATGTTTTCAATCAGCAAATACTCAAAACATACATGAAAGTTGGTATCTGTCTAAGGTGTTTCAGTTTTAAATGAAAGCAGGGCTGCTGGATTTTGTGCGGGGGGGGGGGGGAAGAAAAAAAAAAACAAAACCAAAACAAAAAAAAACCCACCCAAACCCCCCCAAAAGTAGATGGCCCAATAAAAACACTTGTACAAATTAAATTTGTAAGAAACATCCTCAGAGGTGTCCAGTCACAAAAAGGACATCCAAACCCCTAAGGATAGGCAATTTAGAAGTAAAACCACTCAGCGTCTAATGAAAATTGGGAGGGGTCATTAGGACAGCACAGTCAGCCACAGGCTCTGAAAAGTTAGCCAGCAGCTCACCTTATTCACCCAGAAACACATGCATCTGCTAACAACATTCCTCCACTACACATACACATACACATACTCACCAGCTCACACAGCTCATTGGGATGATTCAGAGAGGATAATGGAGTAATTCCTATTACAACTGACACAGATAAAGCAATACCTCCACTAGTGATGAGCTTAACACCTGTACGAAAACTGTGGGTCAAATCTACTATCTATGCCACCTGTTGTAGATAGGTATGGACTGAATTTGTCTACACATGCTCTGTGAGGAGAGGCTGAGGGAACTGGACTTGTTTATTGTCGATAAGAGACAGCTTTGGGGAACCTAACAGCAGCTCCTCCATCCCTATGGGATGACAGGCTCTTCATAGCAGTGTGTAATGGGGATGAGAGACAACACGTAAAGATAAAATAAGAAAGGTTTGGACTGGGTATAAGGAAAAATTTCCTCACCTTGAGGAAAGCCCAGCAGTGCTGCAGATGATATGCCATCTCCTCCTCCAGAGGCTTTCAAGACCCACTTGGATAAATCTCTAAATGACCCAGTCTGACCCCATAGCTGGCCCTGCTTTGAGAAGGACATTGGACTAGAGACCTCCTGAGGTCACTTCACATCTGAACTATCCTATGATCCTGTAAATGCAATACCTTTCAGACCTGTATTGTTTGTCAAATTTTCCTGAACTTCTCCAAAATACTTAAATGTTATTGCAGATACAGTTAGAAAAGGACATAGAAACAGCATGACTGCATAAGCCCCACGTCCTCAGGAAACCTTTTTAACAAAATGTAATAATTTAGGCATTAAAGAAGTAAAAGATACAAAGAACTGATTGACTAAAACCCAAAGAGAATTAACAAGAAAACAAAAATGAAAGTTCATTGCTGGCAGCTGCTGTATTGCTAGAACTACAACATGCAGTTCACTAAGTAGCTGAACTCAGTACAGTTCTCCCATCTTACCTCTTACCTTCAGAGCAGCTTAGACAGTATTATTAATATGCCATCAGTTAAATGAAAGGTAAACTTGAAAGTTGCGGATATATTTTTATTTACTCCTGTGTTTCTTTCTTCTGAAAAAGAAACTACTCAGAAGAAGAGGAAGTAGAGAGCATTAAGATTTATTCAGACCAGAAAAAAAAAAAAAAAAGAAAGCAAAAAGCACCAAAAATA